TTAGCAAAAATCACGTCCAAATCGCTTTACAACGCGTTTAAAAGTAAAAAGCAAATCCCTTCAACTGCGCAAAAACAGTTCAAGGAAAACTTTCCACAATTTCCGTTTTACTGGAAGATAATATACTCCTTGACTTTTATCGTCACAATTGAAACTAAAATTAGAGAATTCCAATATAAAGTATTAAATAATATAGTATTTACATACGAAAGATTGTTTAGGTGGGGATTGGCGGATTCGCCTTTATGTACTCTTTGTAAACAAGAGGTTGAATCCTTCGAACATATCTTTTTCTACTGCAATGTTACGAAGGCTTTCTGGCAAGCTTTCTGTTCTTGGCTTGGTGAATATCAAGTTAACTTTCAAACCTTTACAATATAGGATATATTTTTTGGAGTTTTCAATGCGGAAGAGGACTTTATTATTCTAAATCACCTAATACTGACAGCTGAATTTTATATATACAAGTGTAAATTGAATTCTAAGAACCCCTCTATGCTAGTTTATAAGGACAAGATCGGGGAGATATACCAGGTAGAAATGAAGATAGCAACAAAGCGGAATAAATTATCTAAACATTTTCAGAAGTGGAATAAGCTTTTTCCACATATCGTTCTGTGGGATGGGTGTCGTCCAAACAATGCAGAGTAGCATAAGAAGTCGAATTTTATTGTAAAGCACACAATTTTCGTTATATACTCTTATTAAGGTACTGTAAGTAGTTCACGTAACATGTTGAAAGTAATGTAATATGTGGTAAAGTAATGTAAATGTAGAGTATTGTGTAGGTAGTGGAAGTAATCGAGAGTAAGTCATCTGCTGTAATCAAGTTTATTGTAAACTATACTTTGTTTGTGGTGTGTTCTTACTAAACTATTGTAAACAACGTACTGTAACTGAGTCCTGAGGTGTATTGTAAATAGAGTAATATTTCAAAAATGCCAAAACTGATAAAGAAATTGCAAAAAAAATATATTAAAACATAAAAAATACTGAATACTCTTTCACTTGATGGAGGGTCTCAGTGGAGTTAACTGTCAACCGTCGAACGGTGAAAATTTTAACCTTCAACCATCAAAATCGCAATATTTTTACCGTCAACTGTCAAGTAAGCGAGCCAATGCTAGCCGTCAAATGTCTCAGATATCCATACTTGAGAACTAAGCATTTGCCTCAATTGGGGTCAAGTTCTGTTGTTTGTAAATAAAAGTTTTGATATGTCACAAAAATACATTTATGTAAGTCCTTCAACTTCTAGTCACGAGTAAAACTGGTTAGCCACAGAAATGGCTTCCCCGGCCCCTCCCCCCATTGAAACCTTCTTGATATCTTCTCCATCACTTGAATCGTGTCGTGATACTTAACCCTTTGCACCCTAAGATCAATATGCATATTCTCCATACTGTTTTCTACAGATTTCCTATGGCACTCACTGGAGAATTTGTCAATCAATCAAGAGTCTCTTAAGTTGATGACCGCTATCTTAATTCTCATTACTTTTGGGTTTGATTTAGGAGTCATGCTGTCAGGAGAAATTGGATGGCAGTCACTCCTCAGGAGTTAAACGGTTAATGTTCCTTTGCAGTTCTGATCAAACGAAAAGAACGAACAGAAAATTTATACCACCGGATTTCACCGGCGGAATCCAGTTTACAGCTTGTCCGCGATGATGTGAAGCCGGCTTAAAGCTCTTCTTGAGATAATCCCTTGAATCAGATTTGTACTTCCCGTGCCGCCAAATTAACTATAGGGACTTCCGTGGCTACTCGCAGCATTACTTATATGTCTCAATATTTGTCATACCTGTATACGTTAAACAAAACACTACAAGTTCCCACGCGAGCCACAATATATGTGTTTCGTGTGCAACGCAGCATTCGGTTGACAACAAAATTATTTTGTCTCAAAGCACATAATCGTCAAAGTTCACGAACAGAAGAATGAGATTTCGACAGAGAATTTGAATAATTTGTACCGTCCTTGGGTAAACAAACCAAGAGCTGTGTTGACATATGCATTTCATGTTCATTCTGCTGTTGCCTCTAAAGCAGGGAAATAATTTATTCTTTCGGTATTAATCAGGTTAGAAATTTTTCTGCATTTGCACTCGAGATATTTTAAAAACTCTTTTGTGGTTGTGAACGCTTTACTGTATTATATACTTTACTGTATTATATGCTTTATTGAAGACAGTTTGATCGCTGTGTCATCACTGTTTACATCTTGCAGTTCCGCCAAAAGAACAAAAACGAAATTAAAACTTGTCTGAGCTCTTCATCTTGAAGGCATGAAGTCGATCGAGATGTCAGTCATGAATCCTTGACTCAACAAGTAGACTTCGCTACTGTTGTGACACTAAGAGTTTGACTTTCATGACAGTTTTTATTTTCCCTGTTCTACAGCGTAATTTAATCACTTGTTCTGATAACTGTTTTTTCAATCAATATTCACAGGCGAGCCTCTATTTGACACCACCCACCTACTGTTAAAACTCGCCTTTTACACCGCACATGCCCTTTACAGCCGGCACCCCGGCAACAATCTTACGACCAAATGCTTTACTGCGAGTTGTCATATTTCGTCATGTTGTATTGAAGGCGGTTATATTGCTGTGTCTTAATTTTCTCATATTTTGTACTCCCGCCAAATCAACAAAAGCGACGTCAAATTTGTCTCAGCTCGTCATCTGGGAATGGAATATCAGTGCCCGCGACTGAAACAGTTATAATTTAGATATATCAACAAAGTTGAAATGGTAACGATTACAAAAGCTGACGTTTCGAGCGTTAGCCCTTCGAACGCTCGAAACGTCAACTTTTGTAATCGTTACGGTAGTCTCCCTCGCAGCCGTTTTTAGTCTCGTCACTCAACGCTCCTCCCCACAAAACTCGCCTTTTACACCGCACATGCACTTTACAGCCGGCACCCCGGCAACAATCTTACATAATTGTTACGGTGGCCAATTTACTATTTCAACTTTGTTGATACATCCAAATTATTTTTAAAAATAGACTCGCCATGAACACCGCACATGCGCTTTACAGGCTGCATGTCACAGACACTGGTTCTTATCGCGCTTTAAAGCTAATTAGGGACTTTAAGCAGTCAGGACGGCAACGCCACGGAAGACGTCGATTAAAAAATGAGTTTCTACTTTTAGTTAGAATTTCGAAAATGGCTGGATGTGTTTACCGTCTCATAGGGCGCCAGACCTCAAACTCAACATAACGCATAAAAGTAGCGTTGAGTTCCAAATGTAAATTAAAATAA